AAGTCAGGATTCGCTCTATGTGATAGCGTTGCATCAGCCTGCAGCGTGATGCGACGCCATCACGTACAGCGAATCCTGAATTCCGAGTCTTGATGGGATAGGATGCAGTGTACTCTGAAAGCCGATTTTAATCCTTTTTTTTTACTAAAAATATGTGATGACTATAAAGCAATATCGGTATCGTAAAAATTAAGAATCCGATGTATTTTACAATGTCATAAAGCTGAAACTGAAGTTTACGTTGTTTATTGAAAAATATAAAATTAAATCAATTTTGAAATCCAAGACAAACTAGCATAGCCAAACCAAAATTTCAGCTTTACGACATTGTAATTGATGGTCCACAGCAGAAAGGCCAAATTCAAAACCGCGTTTAACAAGTTCTAAACTAACAAGTTGCAATGTTCAAAGGCAAAAATGCGAGAGAGAAATCGAAACACAGTGTCTACCAATAGAAGATACGCGAACTTTGTACAAGAGTAAAAAGCAAAAGAAAGTGTCAGTCATCAACAATTTCTACTGGGACGTGATGCCAACAATTATTTATCAGACCACGAACATTCCAGATACCCCGAATTGTTTCCGGCTGCGTATTATAGGAACGGTCTGTGGCTTTACAGACCAAATCCAACTTGTTTATTTTTTCTGGAATTTTTATGACTGCTTTGAAAAATGTCCATGACCACATATGATCCTGCAACAACATTCCGCTTTATACACAGGAAATCTTCTACAGGCCAGAACATCCAGCTCTTTTCAGCGCGGAATTATTGACGATAAAAAAATTTGTTACAAGGAAATACCAAGTCCTGATCAGGATCATGTATCAGTTCAGCTGGCTGCCATGTTTCACCACCATCCGTTGATATTTCTACACGAATGATGCCTCGCCCACCTCCACTCCATGCATAACCCATAACGTCGAATTCACCATCAGCTAAGAAGATGGATAAGTTTTGTAGGATGTGGATAAGTTAACATGTAGCTCATATGGACATGCCAATGATTTTCCATAAAATACTGGAACTATGAGCGACTTCGAGAAAATCAAAGCTATCAACAGAATTTTGCTTCAGAAACTTACAACGTGAAACTTTGATTGGGCCAGCTGGACGACAAAACGCGCTTTGCACAGGATATTCTTGTATCGAAGGTACTAGTTCGAAATCCTGGTAATCAGAGAGCCCAATAAATGGTGGTAAAGCTCTGAAATACGTTTCGGTTTCTTTTCACAATCTTCATTAAGCACACGCTTGTATGTATCATAATAAAAAAACATCTTTTAGAACTGAAGATTTGTTTTTAAGACTGGCAAAATATAGCTAACAACAAAATTCAGTTCTGCACCCGTTGTGCTGAAACTGAATTATACTATTCTCAGATGTCAGGACCGAATCTGAGGAAAATGCTGATTTTGAAAATAACGAGCGAAGCAAGATGCTGCACCGAAAAGCCAGACCTGACTGTAGTTCTTTTTCAATGAAACAGCCAACCTGTAGTCCTTTTTCTGCCAGTGTGAAGTGCTCTCTGTTTCGCTGAGATGTATTGAAGTAAGATATTTCACTTGACGTGCGCCCACTATTCCTACAAATTGATCATATTTCTATGATAACCCATAGGCTTCCTCGGAGCTTCTACTTCTCCAGATGCGGTTCTTCGGCAGTAGCAAAGAAAACGGATCAGAGACAGAGTGAGAAAAATCTTGGACTTGCCTTACTTGTTGGTTAATTCTTTAAATCTCCATAGTAGGAAAGGACGAGGCAATTTGGCACATTAATGGAGAGGCGTAGAAAGGCCATAAACTCTCTTTCGAGACGCATAAGATCAATCGACTTTTTGTCCGGAAAAAGTTGTTTAACGTTTTGTCTCATTACTTTTTTTGTTAATTATATCCTCTGCAATAAACAGAAGTAAAACTGAAATAAGAGCTGGAGAAAATATTTCCCACCAATTCTTCTTATAAAGCGCCTAAAAATTTCTTCCTCTTTCTTCACAAATTTTCCGCTGTGCCAAATTCGAAACTGTTGCATCAAGAAAACGACCAAATCCCTTCTGCATGAGATGTTTCAAAAA